GGAGCAGGCGGCTTTGCTCCTGTGTTGACAGCGAGAGGGAAGGTTATCTGAAGGCTCTTAAACTGAGCAGCAACAGATATTTGTCTTTTCTCCCTTGCTATCCAATCAGACACTCTCATAGCTGTAAAATACATTTTCAAGGTATTGTTGTTATCTCAGGTTTGTCTTATAACTCTCATTTAGATGATAGATGAATTGAGACCATTTTGGCACTGGCCATTTTGGATTCAAGACTTCAGATTTCTTTCTTTCTCGCCTCCTCAGCACAACTAAATCCAGCCTTATAAGCATATTTTAATGCCCTTTTGCATTTAAACTTTTATGGAATCAAGACTTAATTAGTTTACACAATTCACCATGACCAGAGGCAAAAGAGGAAAAAACCCAAGGGTCTGAGGGTTTGTGTGGTGATCCAGTCAACAAACTGAAGGTCAGAGCCAAACATCCTGAGACTGAGTTAATGGATTGTTAATTTAGTGACACACAATCTTCCCAAGTGGATTACACACACACACACACACACACACACACACGCACACACACACACACACTCAAAAGGACCCCCTGACCCTTAACCCATCTGCTCCATTTTCCTCATGATCAATAGTAGTGCAAGTTGAGCAAATAAGCCCAGCCATCCATCCATCCCTTCAGCATGTTGTTTTCCTTCTCTCTCTGGTGATTGTGTGGAACTCTGTTGACTTTTGCATTCCTCTTGAGGACTGGAGTGATCCGTTTCATCACAGACTCCTGCTTTCTAGCAGTCTAGATTACTATATTTATGCTCTGCTGGCCAACATGTTGACCTCACTTAACACAAAACAGCCCTCTGAAACTCTGTTGCTTTGTGCCATTAGCCTGTTTCATACTTTTTGATGTGTTGGAAAAGTCATGAGAAAGACAGAGACAGGAAAAAGAGATAATGATTTCCTTGAGGGATCTGAACAAACCTCTAACCCCAGTGTTAAACTGGTGCCTCAGTGGTTGTGCCACAGGTATGAATGATACCTAAAATCTCCTGTTTCTAAGCCAACATACTCAAATTTGGTGCTGGTCACTTTTAATGTTGGATTTGATTTACCTCATTTGATACACCTAAAACACACTTTATGCACCAAGAGCTTGTAACACTCCAAAGAGAAAGGAAAAAATGAAATTGCATCATATGACCCCTTTAAGACTGTATTTCTTTCCATAAATAGCCTGATATTCCTCTTCGTTTTCCTTTATAAAAATCCATGGGCAACTATGGTAGCAGGGATTTTGACACAGAGGAAGAGTAATCGTATGAGTTAGCAGAGGTAGAGCTACGGTCTAGTAAGTTGAGCAAAATTAGCCAATTTTAATAAAAGTTTTCATTAAAAAAATTTAAATGAATTATTTTTAGCTTTTACTTGGTTAATTTATCATCAATTCCTGTGCCTTCCCTGATATACCTTGTAAAGTGAGTTTCACCAACAAAAGTAAATTGAAGCATCTAGAAATAGTTTCTTAAGGTGGCAACTGCACCTTTCCCCTCTTTACACTATTTTGTGATTTCTGACCTCTTGAAAAATAAATGCAAATTAGAGAGGTTTTTTCACTTGTTTAAATACAGTTTCTTGCATGAACTTTAAGAATTAAACATCTCACAAAAGTGCTTTAGAGACAAACAAGTGTTATTTTACTATTTTATATACTAACGGTATTTAATATTTCAAATTACCTTTAATTTTTATATTTTAATTTTAATTTTATTTATAAAAATGATTTATTGTTTTAGTAACTGCATGTGATTTTTTTTTTCTTTTTTCTTTTTTAGCTTTAGTAATTTTAGTACTTCAACATATTTTAGGTCAGTTAAGGCAACAATTCTAATTTGTTAAATTTTCATTTCATATTTGCATTTTATTTTAGCTTTATTTCAATTAATGATAGAATGATATAAAAAGATAGAACGATAGACAGAATGATTAAACGACAGAACGATAGAATGACTGAATGACAGAGCAAACAATAGAACGAACAAAAGAACAAACGAAAGAATGAAAGCATCCACGACAGACAGACAGACAGATATAGATCTCTCAAACTGAACTGATCAGGGTGAGAAGTGCAGTCCATCTGATCTCTGCACTTCTCTATTGATCTGTTTATGGCATCTTTCATCTCTTATTAAAAAGACATCCATACAGTTGCAGTATGACAAAGAATCTCTTTGTGGCATTTCAGTGTTAAGATATGCTGCTTTAAGCATGATTACCAATGAAAAACAGGTAGATTACAGCAGACAAATAGAGGGAGCACTGGCAGGAGTCATGCCTGGCGTGAGAGAGCCGTCTCTGGGCAGGACTCGAATTACAGGGACGCTGGTTAAGTATGCAGGGGAGGAGAGGATGGGAAAGGTAAACTCCAGGGCAATCAATCAGCCGTGGACCCAGGGAGGCCAGGTCAGATTGCCTGACTCCATCAGAGAGTGGTGCTGTTCACTTTCTCTGGGCATGAGGCCATGTGAGAGAAGAGAAAGAATGAGAGAGTGCTATGAGAAAGTAATGAAAAACACAGAAGGGACAAATAGAATGGTGATATGAAAAATGCAGAGACAAAAGAGTCCAAAATAAGAAGCGACACAGGGCCTGAATGGAAGCGAGGGTTGGCCTCTGCAAATGCAGCCGTACTCGTGTTGCCAACTAACATAAAGACCTCCTGTGAGTTCTGGTCCTTCTACCACCTGAGGCTAAACAACAAACTGCTGCTGTTTTTATTAGCATTGTGTCCCATGTACACTTGACACTGTTTCTGCTGCCAGAGGACAGAGAGAAATGACAGAGTGAAGGAGAGAAAGAGGCAGCTCTCTCTAGCTGCACAGTTTTCAGTCACAAATGACCTCCTTCCTTCATGGACAATCATGGCAGGTTGACCAGCCTATTCCTGCAGTGCGAATACAGGACTCAATCCAAAACTAATAATGTCATGCTCTGCGCTATCTTTAAAAATAATAATAATAATAATAATAATTAATTAATTAAAAAAACATAGGAATAAATTCAAAATGTATAAAAAAGCAATCTACTTTGGTGCAACACTGCACACCTGAATCAATTGGTCAGTCTGGATCTGTGACGTTTAAATCCTGTTTTGATCTTACAACACAGCATGTGAATTCACAAGTCAAATGTGTTTAACACTGTTATTTTTTTTAAATAATTTAATTTAAATAATTTACTTATTTTATTTTGCCTATATATATATATATATATATATAGGCAAAATAAATAAGTAAATATATCAATCAATCAAGCTAAGTGGCTACATGAATAAATAGCTAAATAAATGTTTAAATTGCTAATAAATAATACATAAAAATACATAAATTATGTGATTTAAATATGATGATTAGTATAAATACTACTAAATAAATTACTAAATGGCTAAAATTGTTAAATAGCTAATAAATAAAATCAATAAATATACAAATTATGTGACATATTAAATATAATGAACAACATAAATGACTAAAATTGCTAATTAGCAAAATAAACAAATAGCTAAATGGCTAAAATGACTAAAAGGAAAAGTAAATGGCTAAAAAGAATGAACAAATATTATATGATTCAAATATAATGATCAAAACAAATAATTTGTTAAAATTGCTAAATAAAATAAAAATAAATAACAGTATGCTCATTTTTACTACAAGAAGTACAAAGTGGCTCAATTCACCTCTGTTCATCCTTTGAACATCGACTGGATCAGGAAGTACTGTAGAGCTGATGTTAAGCAACAAAGCTCAAGACCGAAACTATCAAACATCTCCGGAGGAAACGATACATGCACAGGCCATTTGAGCACATGTCTCACTGTCCAGCACTAATGCAGCTCTCACTTTTACAAAAGCAAGAGAGAGCGAGAGAGAATGAGAGAGCGAGAGGGTGAGAGACAGATAAATGTGAGATTTTAAGCCTGCCTGACCTTGGGCAGCCATGTGGCAAATGCTATGCCCATGGCCCGTTGCATCTAGAGCACTCAAAAGCCCTGAGAGAGACAGAGAGACATAGGCCCTGAATCTCTACACATCCCCTCACTCTCCCTCTCTTTCTCCTGCACTTAAGAGGGTAATGCTGCTTTTGGTCTGAAACCCTGCCAGCGTCTGCTAGACCTTCTCTTGCCCTGTCGCTCCTTAGTGGCACGGGTGATGTGTACATGTGTGTGTAGAGTGTTTTAAGACCTAGATGTCATTGAATATGGAGCTGTGGAGATGTGAGAAAGCTAGAGCTCACAATGCCGCACACAGACACACACACACACACACACACACACACACACACACTCCTCTGGGGTCCTCAAAAGAGGACAAGAATCCAATTTTCAATTTACAGTGGAGTGGGAAATGTGGCCATCCCTTGAGGGCCTGAAGCATCCATCACCCTCACTTTCTACACAGTGGGTGGAAAGGTGGCCGTGTACAAGTATTTGTGTTTATGTATTTCCATGTGTGTGCACGTGTCTGAGATCCATTAGTAGGAAAAATTTGACTTATTTGAATTACTCTAAATGAGAACATATCATGCTACATGCCTCTTAAATGGATTGTCCACCCAAAAATGAAAATTGTGTCATAATTTACCCTATGCCATTCCAAATCTGTATACATTTCTTTCATCTGCAGAACACACACACACACAAAAATATATTTTGAAAGATATTGGTTACCAGTTTCAGCCACCATTGACTTCCACTGTATAATGGAAAAAATGGAAGTCAATGGGAATGGAAACTGTTTGGTCACCAACATTCTTCAAAACATCTTACGTTCCACAGTCCAAAGAAGTCATAAATGTTTGGAACGACATCAGGTTGAGTACATAATGACAAAATTTTCATTTTTTGGGTGTACTATCCCTTTAACAAACATCTAGTACACATACCGTACTTCCTTTATATGATCCTCAGGAGTTTGTCTACATACAGGTGTACAGGACAGTGCGTAGCCATGCAAAGTGCAGGAGGGTTTTACTCACATGCTGTGAAGCACACACCAGCCACAGTGAGGATCTCCAGATCCCAGACACTCTTTACAGGATGAATACTGCTCGCAGGCCTCCACTGGGACACGGGTCAGCTGCAAACAGAGAAACAGAGAGAGTAAGTTATGTGTGGAGTGAGACTTAAGTCTCTCTTAAGGTGTGTTCACACTGACTACAACATTGGAGGCGGACAAGTTGAACTCATCTCAACTGTGCCTCATCGTAAAGGCTCATACTGTCAAATCTCATTGAAAATTAACACCTTCCGGTCGTTCAATGAAATGTGTGGATAGAAAAGCATTCCTCACAGTTTTAATTCATCTGTAATAGAAAAATATCGTCTGCTGGGATTTAAAATGAATACTTACTTTTTAATATTTTTTATATTTATCTCTCTAAAAACTATTGTGAAACTGATAATAGCCTGTACTTTAACTCAAACAGAAAGCAAAGAGACTTCCAGAAAGGCAAAGAACATATGGTTCATGAGAACACACATGTACACATCTGCTAAATGTGGGATTTCGTCACACACAGCGGGATAAGGATCTGCTGAGAGAGCTCATCCTGGGTCATCAACTCCAGCTAGTGCATCTTACCGTTTACAGCCAATTAACACTTGAGAGAAGAAGAGGCGCTGTGGAGCTGTCGGGAAACATACAGGGCCAAACAGAGTCGAACCAAAGAAGAGATCTGCACTGAAATACACATGTAAGAGCCATTCCTGTCTCCATGGATATGGCCTGGAGCCCTCAGTTTTCTTTTGCTTTGATTGATTACTTGTCACTGGTGGATGACTACTGTCAATCACAGCTTAGATGACAGGCGATAGGTCCAGAGCGGTCAGGCAGGACGAATGACAGACGACATCATTACTGGCCTCACCATAGTGGCATTTTTATTTTTGGAGAAATAAATTTTTTTTCATTTCAGTCAGGCTTGAGAGAGATGGCATTTTAAGATTGAGAAGATTTGACTATAACATTTATATAAGAGCAGAGCAACCGGTCGCAGTGAATCACGGCTCATATTTAAGCATTTCGCTCTTGTTCTGTTGTCAGCGCTCATCCATCAGCGTGTTTACTTCTTGCTGTGTCTTGAAGTTCTGTCAAACTATTTCTCTTTCTGGAACATTCTTACACATATCTCAGTGACATTTACGTGAAATAATTTGGACACATGACACAAATGATACAGAGTTCAAAACAATGCAGAAAAACTAAATAAAAAATGTCATGATGCCTATTCAGGTGGTAAACGTTTTGAGATAGAATGTGAGGTCATTTCAGCATTCATGGAGTGATTTAATCAGTGCTTTCTCAAACTACCCAACAGAAAATTCCAGACAGATTATCTACTGCTTTTTTACAGAGGCACCTGATATGATTAAATACTCCCACTCAAACTGACATCTCAGAGTGTACAAGGAGAACAAATCATTCTGAAAATCTCTTTTGACCACTGCTAAATGCCGTTGGACTAGTATTGGCCACTAATGACAATTTAGGCATTTGGCACAATGGAAATGAATTACATGAATAAAATTACATACCCGGCCCATCACTGAGACAGACTGAGAGCTCACAAGAAAATAGGGAGGAGAAAAAATGAAAACCCTATTGGGTTCACAGTCAAAATGCACAATTTTGGAACTGTGTCATATGACTGTGCAAGTACAGGTCAAACTTTTTTGTTTGATGGGCAATAGAATTAATTGAAGGCCAAATTTAAGTTGAATGTAAATGTTTAATCCAGAGAAACATTGACTGAATTACGTCACATACATTTTTTTTTTCTTTTTTTTTTTTGTTACAATAAGAGTTTGAACACATTAAGAGTTAAATTACTCATCATAGCTCTGCAAATACAGTTTTAAACTGGTCTTTTGACACAAAGACAAGATGAGAAATTTCTTTTACTAGGCTCCACTGTCTAAAAGCACATCCATTTAAACCATATCTAATGTTGCCCTCTGATTTCTCCATCCCAAAGCATCCTTTGGAAGAGTGCTCCAGATGGCACGATCTCACTGCCATGTACAAGAGCGAGGTTCTAAATCCAAGAGAAATGTAATTTCTCTCGTCACGCACACATGATGCCTGTCAGCTGGTCTTGGTGCCGCCACAAAGCCCCCCGTTTCACCCCGGCTGCACACCTGAATTCCCTTCCTCCATTTCACAGCTATGAAGAGGTAAATTATCAGGCATTGTGACAGAGCACTTGCCTTAGCATAGGGGGCCTGAGAGACTGCAGGTTAGGCTTTGGTGAGCAGAGCGGGAGATTGACTCTCATTACCTTTAGAAAATGATAAGGGTTTAGGAGCCGCCTGTGAAATTCTCCCCTCTGATTTGTCAGTTTTTTTCCCCCTATTTATGAAAGAGATTGTCGCACTTGTGGAAAGGTCTGTGTCTCACTCTCTCTGTGTGTGTGTGTGTGTGTGCAAGAGCTTTCAAAGCATCAGATCTGTATGCAACAGGCAAACATGACTGATAATTATTTTTTTTAATTAATAAGAGCAACTGACTGATTAAATATATAATCTCAGGTGTGTGTACGGATATGTGTGCATGTTCATACTTCCTCCATTCAGCTAGGCATAAACCCTATCATCACATAATGTGAAAAGCAGGCTATTTTTAGGGCAGAAGTAGAGCCATCTGTCTGCACACCTCTCTTTTAATAATAATACTGATAATATGAGATTTTCACATTTTCTGTAGAATATGAGAGTGGTGCCTGCCCGTGCAAAACCCAACACCACAATGCTAGCATGTTTGATAGGGTATAGTAATGCTGTTGCTAAGGTGTTGTGAGTGGTTTGTAGGGTGTTGCTAGGATAGTCTGGATCGTTATTGGCCCAAAAAAACTTATGGATCAAATTAGGAATTGCGTCATCCTAGGTAGCACACACTGTAATATGCCATGCACTTCCTGTTAGATGCAGTGAGCGCATCTATGAATAGCGCACTCCGCTGGTGTAAAGAGGATGTGCGCTCTCTGCCGTCTGCACCTTGTCTCAGCGGCCCAGAACAGAGTGTGCTTTAACACACTCCCCATGGCGATATAGAGAGATGGAGACAACAGGAGGAGGAAGAAGACAAATGTATCCAGAAAGAGGACTTCCCGCTACCCTCCCGAGCTGGAAAAGGAGCGGCGCCGACTCAGGAATCTCATTATGTCATAAATCCGTTAGATTATTACTAATTTATCCGAGAGCTCTGTAAGAGGATTGAGACCAGCAGATAATGAGGCAAACTGACAAATGACACTGCTCAACAGATTAATGCAGCTGTTAACTCAGAGAGGGGCATCTCTCGTTCTCTTTCAAAAACGAACTGCCTACGAAGACAGCATTTTAAGGCATTATAGGCTCATTCTTGATGATAGTAAGGTTGTGGAACAGAGTGCACGCCTGTGTGAGTGTGCATGTAAATAAAACTATATAAGAGCTTCCACAATAATGACTATTGGATGATACACTGCGTGTCAAATTAAAAGTGGGATTCTCTTCACCTGTTTTGCAATACCAGGTCATTAAAGTCCACTTTAATCAACCTACTAACCTAATCAAACAAAGTCCTCTTCCATTTCTCTCTCCTCATGAAATCCGTCAGTAAATCCCACAGACCTGACTGACTGGCAGAGTTTCTCAGTTGTCTCAGAGCTGATCTGTGGTTTATTATAGAGTCTAATCCACTGGGCTCATCTGTAGCTCAATGCTCCTCTGCTGGCATTAACAAACTTCCTCTGACTCACTAAAAGCCAAGGCAAAAGTTCAAGGCATTAGGGCTGTGACGGTGGCAAATTTTTAATTTGCAAAAATATATTAGTGGTGTCAAAATTAGCGCGTTAACGCAGGCGATTATTTTTTGTCAGTTTAACACGTTAAAAATATTTAACGCAATTAACGCAGGGGCGGGGCTAGGGTTGGCCACCCCACTCACAACCAGTGTTGCCAATTTGGGGATTTTGTCGCCAGATTTAGCTACTTTCTCATTGTAGCTGCGACTTTTTTAAATTTTTTGCGACAAGGAGCTATTTTAGCTATATTTAAATAAAACTAGCAATTTTTTGGAGATTTTAAATTTTTTTACTTGGCCACACCCAGCCGTAGGCCCGTGACCTCTCACGTTTGCTCTCAATCATGCCAGTAACCTTAGGTGCGTTCGACTTGAAGCACAGCTACAGACGGCAGTCAACGAGAGTAGCCGCTTGCAGTCGGGGGCGGAGTTGAAAACGGAGCCGTCAAGCTGGACACTTTCTGCTCCCGTTAGTGATGCTCACGCGGTGTATGAATACTCTATCACAGATTAAGTGAATTAAATGCAATATTTGTCAGATATACAGACGTTTCTTTTTTTTATATAGCTTAATACATCGCCATCTGTTCAAGAGTAAAGTTCAATGTAAATATATTTAAATACTAATAAAGTGGGGGAATATATGCTTTCATCAGTGTTTTATGATAAACGTGACTAAATATAACATTGCGACTACAGTAAAAAAGCTTTTGCTGTTCTAAAAACACAGATTTGTGGCTATTATTGGAATTGAAAAGGTTAGAATAAACCCGAAACACACGTGATAGTTGTCATGCGGTGAATCTGGCCAATCGTGAAATGGCTGTGTAACGCTCCTGCAGCCCGCTCTGGAGAAACTGCGCCGGCTGAGTAGAGTGTGTTGACTGAAATAAGTTTGTATGAATAAAGTTTTTGTTTTTGGAGAATCATAATATCTCTGTTGTATTTGAGCAGGACAGGGATGCACTTTGGTGACACATAAAACAAATTCCCAACATTATGTGTCTTTTGTGTCTTTCCATCATTTCCATCATGTTTGATGTGCTTGCAGATCACAAGCATTTCCTAATTTCACTTCAGAATTTTTTGTTATACTTAATCTTTTGTTATATTTTTTATACTGTCATCATTTGTAAAGTGTATATATATATATATATTTACTTTCTTTTACCTTTACCAAATTTACCAGTATTTACTTTGTTTTCATATTTGGCGACTTTTTGTGAAAAATGGAGACTTTTGAGGGTGGTTCTAGCGATTTTCTGAGGGAGGGGTTTGGCAACACTGCTCACAAC